CATATACCAAGGTGAAGTGAGTGTGGATGAAGTCACCAAAGGAGAGTGTGCCAAGTAAAGTAAGAAGAGAAATCAGGAAAGCGGCTGAGGAACATAAATGTCGAGGCAATTGAAGCTTATCATCAACTAGGATATGGCACCAGTGTGAGCCTCATTGGTTAGCAGTGACTTCCCTAGAATTTGACATTGAAACAGGAGGTAGGGTACGTTCACAAAGAGATGTTTAGTTTTGATTGACAATATTTATCATTAATAATACCATTAGTAAAGGTGAGGCATAATTACAAGGTGATGCCAGATGGACAAATGGTAGCATTTTAAAAAGATCTTTCATGGGACACCTCAAAGAGTGACATTCCTAATTTACAAACTGGCAGTAAGATCCACAGTAGAGATAATGAGATACTCAGGGAAAAGTTCAGATGAACAATATGCTAAATCAGGTTTTGCTATTGTTTTTTCAAATTCTCACATTTGGACTTCAGTACATATATTGCCATATTTTCTTTTTTTAGGCTGTTCTTTTTCCATAGGGCTATGGATCCCTAAAGTTTATATTCTCACTCTAGGTTGGAGATGATGGCAGTCAGAAACTGTTAGATAAGATCAATGTATTTAGTCAGTTTACTCAGGCAAAGAGTGGGGTTAAACTTGGGTGTGCCACTAAAATGGACCTCATCCGATAATAAGATGCCTCACTGCCAAACTTCATGAGTCTCCAGAGCTCTCTCTAGTCTACAGGGCATTCTCTGATTGTCTCTAATTCTTGCACAAAAACAAACACACAAACAAACAATATGGAAATATACTCATTTCTTTTCTTCCAATATACATAAGCTTTTTGCTTCTTCATTGAGAGCTGGTTGGCCTCCTGAGACATGGTTCTGGGCAATATCCAGAAACAAGATTAGTGCCTGAGGAGGAACATTGTGAAATCAGTAAGAAAGCAACCTTGCTGATCCAAAGGAGCAAAATAGTTCTTTGGTTGATGAGTGCTCCAAGCAAAAATGCTTAAAGGGTCCTGAGAGTTCTACTTCTCACCTGACTCAGGGTCAGTTAAATTTCATTTCTATTGAGTCTTGGATCATGAATGGGTGAAACTGTTGCTCACCGTAGTGCAGCTCACTCATTTTCTTTGTTACATGCTCTTGTTTTGCCATGAACACTAAGTGACCTCAAACACATTTTTTTCTAAAATTGTAGCAACAAGGGACTTGAAAAAAAATGAAACTCATGAGACAGCTATCTCTCTTGGCTCCTGAAAAGCCTGCTTCTTAGTCGCCCCAGGAAAGATGAAATGATGTTACTGACCCCATTTCTCGACAATGATAAATGGATTGCTTCGGCAATAAATGCAAGGATACTTGCTAAGAATGCTTTCATAGCTTTATTTTTGCCTTATATGTTTATCATGGATTCAACCAATTAAAAGCTGAACCAAACTAGAGCTCAAAACATCATTTTTTTAATGTTGCAAGGATTTCAAATATAAAATCACTAAAGGCATCATATGCACATTGAATGTCTCTTCCCCTCCCCCAAGTTCCATGTAAATAAAGTATATTTCTTGCATTCTACCATTAACTGTGCCAGATTATCAAGTTTTCTCCTGAACAAAGTTTGGATGCTTTCATTACAATTTCCTTGTAATATAATTATGACATTTTGAAGGAAATAAGAAGTCATCAGGAAACATTTAAAAAGATTACTGGCAAAGATATCTGCCTAATTCTGGAAGAAATCAGGTTTAGATTAAGCAACAGAAATGATAGAAAGAATTATATCTCTTATTTGGTAATTCAGAGAGACAAGGAATCTTTACTCTCTGCAAAAGGCAAACAAAATCCTCCATCTCTAAAAAAATCATTAAGTAAAAGTTCTTTATGGTGGCAGGTGGCGCTGATAGAAAGCCTCAGGAATTTTTTTGTTTGTTTATTTTTGTGTTGATTTATAGCTTTCATTTTTTCAAAAATGATTTAAGGTTACCAAGAGAATATGCTTGAAAGATTCAAAAGGTTGTTACAGAAAAGATCAAAGTATGTGACTTAGCATTTGTGGTTCTGAAATAGATATGAACTTTTTTTAATGTGATAATTTGAAGGAAAATTCCTTTCTTTCTTTATTTTTCTATCTACCTACTTTGGTGTTTATTTAACAAATATTTATTTATCTTTTAAGATTTATTATTTTTTTGATGTGGACCATTTTTAAAGTCTTTATTGAATTTGTTACAATATTGCTTCTGTTTTATGTTTTGCGGGTTTTTTTTGGCCACAGGGCATGTGGGATCTTAGCTCCCTGACCAGGGATCAAACCTGCACTCCCTGCATTGGAAGGCGAAGTCTTAACCACTGGACCACCAAGGACATCCCAACAAATACTTATTGATTATGTTCTTTGCACAGTTTGAAGCACGGGGGACCAAAGAAAGTGTAAGATTGAGGTGAGCCTTCAGCTGTTGTATGTGGGAGATGAGTTGAGTGGTCTCCACTTTGCTGAAAAATCGCATAATTATTATTTAGATCAAAGAGAAAATTGTTCTCATAATCATCAGATGTTTGTTTCACTAGACCAGTGTTTCCCCGAACTTGGCTAATCATCAAATCATCAGAGACACTTGTAAAACATAACTATTCCTAGCCTTCATCCTTGAATCTTTAATCCAAGGCCTGGCCAGTGGGGATGGGAATCTCTAGTTTTAACAAAGAGCCAGGTGAGTTGGCTACTTAGCAAAGTGTCAACTACATGGTATAAGAGGATAAACTCTGTCCAGGCAGGGACCACGTCTTATTTACCTTGGTGTTTAGTGCTTAGCATTGTGCTGGGCACATGAGAGGCACTCGATAAATGTTTGTTAAACAGAACAGTAGACATCTCCACAAATAGCCTTTCTGGAAGGCCTCACTTCTTGTTATAGTTCTAACTTCATGCTGTCTGTGCTCTTCATTCCTTGATGCTTTTCCCACATGGTATAAATACTCCTCTCTGCTCACCAACTCTTAGCATCCTCATGTCATCTTTCATCTTGATCAAAAACATCAGTTTGAATAGAAAATTAGTTACCCATCAGGATATTACTCATTTCTTTTGGCCTTCAGCCGGAGGATCTTTATGTAGCATATCAGTGTCTACAGACCTGGGTGTAGATTGGTATTAAGAATATTATAACTTGTGTTTATGTAATATCTTTCTCTCAGGACTGAAATCATTCTTCAGGCATTATTTAGCAAGTACAATCTATTCATCCCTCTGTAGGTGCGTATGTTGTCTTAAGGATGCCTTACACATGAGTCTAGTTGATTGGACCACCAAGAATTTAGTGGCAATGATTCTTCCACCTGGCTGCTGGGCCTCAGGGTGCCTGAAAAAGGTGTGTCCCAACAAGCAAAGGCATATCCCCTTCAGACAGGCAATAGTTTGACACTTAGTTTATAACTAGGTGTTACCTTACCTGGAGGGGTGAAACAAGGCTGGGGCAAGCCAAGGGAGGAGTGTCTTGGCAGAGGATGTGGTCAATGGTAGAAGCTTGTGACAGACTGACCTGAATCTTAGATGGGAAGACAGGAAGAATCTGATCCAACAGGTCAGAACTGACAACTGGTAGAAAGTGAAATTGAAGATTGGCATGCTGAAGAGATTTCCCTGAGGTCACTGACTAGTTGACAAAACCATGGATAAAACTGAACTTTGACCTAAAATCCAGTCACCAGACCACATCCTGTAGATACTCAACATTCTCAAAGGTCTAATCAGTCAACTTGTCTGGGCAAGGCTAATTGAAAGTTAGTCTTCTGAGAAGTCCCCCTATCCCGCCATTGAGCCCTAGATTCTAGGAGAAAAATTCCTGAGGTTATTCATCCCATTGCTTCTTGGAACACATACGTGGAAGAACATGTCTTAGTCAAGATAAATTTCCTTAGACAACTATCAAGCATTGATACTCTTCCTGACAAGGCATGTATTTCTATACTGTTGGTTAGTAACTGATACCAGCTAGTATCACGTCAGATTTCTCTTCATTTGTGGTTAGACTTTTGCATATTCTGAGAAGACAGGTATGAATCACAGGTATTCAGCTATCTAACAAGTTCCCAGTATTTGCCAATCTCTGTAGTAACTTGAAGTTTTCCCAGTTGGCTTAGAGCCAATGGGCCCTGTAGGCAGTATAAGGTGCTTATGGAAACCCAGTGTGTGCAGATTGCTTCCGGGGTCGTTGAACCTCAGGGATGATAAATGCTTTATGGAGTAAAGAATGCTAAGAAGATGTTTAGTCCTCTCCTCCACGACTCTAGCTGCCCCCCAGATGTAAATCTTACTCAGTATTTTAATTGAACTTGTTAACCCCTTATTAAGGTTGTGACTTATGGAGTGAGAATTAGCTTTTTCAGAGAGTTTATAATTTTCCCTTCAGAAACAGAAGTCTAATGACATAATCATTGAAGAGGATTTTTCTAGAATGGAAAATGGGAAGTCTCATTTTCAGTACAAGGGGAGAGTTAAATGCTGCATGTAGCAGAGTGACAATCCCATCTATCATTTTGACTCATTACATGATGTTGTATGAGCTCTTTTACTCCTTTCCCTGGTCTCTGATAAACCTTAGGAAAAGCCTGTTATATAGTCCAGGCTTCATGAAGCTACATTTGTTAAGTATCTCCTAACAGCAGGAAATTTATTCCTCATTACGCCTCTGTAGGATAGATATTTTCACTGCCATTTTACCACAAAAACTAAGCCTGAGAGATGTTAAATAATTTTCTAAGATCACACAGTTATCAAGAGGCAGTGTTAGGCCTTGAATCTTATCTGTGTCTGCCTGGCTTCAGAACCCAAGCAGCATGACTTGTAACAGGAGGTTGGGGAAATAGATGAGTTGAAAGACCATAGTTTTTGGCTTGGCTTCACAACCAAGTGTGTGGATATATGAAATTTTATTCTTTCCAGTATCTGTCCTCATCTGTACACTGCTTGCTCTCATTTTATTCCACAGATAAATTTATGAGGGGCCTATTGATAGCTCTGGTACCAAGTTCCAACTGCAGTGAGAGACCCAAGGATGTCAAGGAAAACATCAGTTCAGTTACGGAAGACAGAGATGAAGAGGTTTGACACAGGGGACACTCTCTGAAAGTGAATGTTTAGGTAACTGCCTGTCTGGCCCTTGCATTTTGTCTTCTAAACTCCTGTGTTTAGTGGTTGGGTGTAGTTCCAAAGGTTGTTCTGTCTTTCTAAAGCCTTTAGAGAATTTCCTGGCCTGCCTTGTTGTAGTCAAACAGTGGTTTAAGGTAGTGGCTAATTAAAGAACTGCTGGTGATCCCTTTTAAGGTTTTCTAAACTATTAAGTGTTCTGAGAACTAGGGTAAAGTGCTCTAAAGATTTAAGATTTCACCTTTGTAGAGCTATATGACCTGAAAATATAAACTTTATAAAAAAATAAATCAGAAAAGTCACTGTATAAGTTACCTTCTCTGAATAAAAGAGTATTTTCTGCTTTTCATTTTACTTGGGATGTTTTCTAGTGGATCCAAAATAGGATTTAATCTTCAAAACCTTGTTTTTCACCTAGTCTTAATGGGCCATACCTGTCTTCTACAGCATCCCACAGTGGCCAGGGTCTGATGTTGTCTGTTAGAAGATTTATGTTTTTGTCTTGGTTCTTCCGTTAGTTAGCTGTGTGTCCTTGAGCAAGTCTCCTAACCTTTCTGAGTTTCATGGTCATTATTTGTAAATGAGGACATTGGGGTCTTTGACACCTTATAATCTCTGCCAGTTCTATATTCTGTGATCTTATGGTATACCATTTGGTTTCTGGTTTAAAAAAATTCCCTAAACTAATGGTTTACCTATAGGTAATGGTTTACCTATAATATAAACCATAATATGGTTTACGTATAGGTAATTGTTTACCTATAATATGTTACATTTATGATTACTATTAACAATTTCTTCTTAATTGTTTTCTAAATGCTATGATATGAATTTATGAGTCATTGGGAAGAGCTCAGGAAATAGAACCTTACATACACATTTTTATTTAAGGGGAAGAGTATGTGTTTCCAAGTATTTTAATGAAGAATCAAATGTTGAACTTGTCCGTTTAGCTGTTTAACTCATCCAAAGAGATACATGGGCTGTGGGAAGCTGGGAGTGACTTTAATTTTATTCAGAAACAAACATTTTATTTCATGATATTTTAGTGTTAGAATTGTAATCATGTCTTTGTTCTATTCTACTTTCCTTTCTGGCCAAATAAGCAGATATGTTGTTTTACATAATAAGCGTGTTGATGGTTTTTGAAAGGAAAACAATCTGATTTTTGAGTAGATTGTTTTTTATGGGTCAGCACTTTTGTGACTGTAACAGACTGTGACTGATTAAGACAAATGGTTGTTGGATGACTTGAAGGAAGGAGAGGTTCATTCAATGAGCAACTAGAGAGGGTAATAATTCTGGCTTTTGAGAGCAGCCAGGAGTCTCTAGCCATCGAACACAAATTCTAGCTATAGACACCAAGGCTTGGCAATATCAAGTCTCATTTGGAAAACTTTTTTCTTACACTGGGACATGTCAGATTCCCAGTTGAAAAGGAGGTATACTGAAGATACCCTAATTAAAGATAATTCTGATAAGACTAAAGAGACATGATAACTAAATGCAAGGAATGGTCTTAGATTGAATTCTGGACTGAAAAAAATTGTGTAAAGAATGTCACTGGGACAAATGGCAAAACTGGAATTTTGACTCTGGATTAGAAAATAAAATGATAACTAAATTCTGATTTTAGTTATCATACTGTGGTTATGTCAGAGAATGCTTTTGTTCTTAGGAAGTATAGATGGAAGTATTTAGGAGGAAAGGGGCATGAGGTATATACAACTTATTGTTAAACTGTTCATAAAGAATAATATACACACATAGGATAGTAACTGATAAAGCAATTTCGCTTGCAACTTCTTTTGTAAGTTTGAAAGTAAAATGTTACCATAAAGAGAAAAAACTTGTCTGATTTTGCAGAATTGGGGAAATGTTAACAAATTCATCACATTCCCTTTGGCCAGGACCAGCAAGCTGGTGAACTTCTAAACTTAGAAATTCAAGGATTTAGATGAAAATAAAAGCCTTAAGCTTATTGGTACCATGAAACCGTAAGCCTTGCCCTCTTTCCTTACTTAACATCGCAACCTGTTCTTTTGTATCATTATCCTTTGTCCTGGATCAGTCTGGGTAAGAGCTTGAGTTAATCAGTTCCACTCTTTCAGAAAGTCTTTCTAATACCTTGACCTAAGTCAGAAGAAATATGTGTAAAATCTCCCCAGGAACTGGGGAAGACTTCAGTATTTTTCAAGTTAGTGGGCCTTTTTTGTTGTAAGCCAAGGACTGTAGATTATATTTCACATCTCTCTCACCCAGCTTAGTCTCTTCTCCCTTTTCTCACTATAAAGGGAAAACCCCTGAAATCCTGGCTTTTGTGAAGCCATTCGTGTGTGTGTGTGGTGGTGCAGTTTCAGCCACCCCAACCACCAGGAACAATAACGCACAATTAATATTGCGCAACAGTCTGTTGCCCTCCTAAGGCTCAAATAAAAATTGACACATCTAATCATGTTTTCACTAAGACTCATGCAAGTTGCTGGGAGAAGGCATCGGTGGGCTATAGAAAGAGGGCAACCCGTTAGGGTCTTTTATTTTAATGGGAGTATTTGTTTTTACATGTGGCTTTTCATTGCTCCTGGAGTATTAACAACATAATGCTGAAGATACCAGGCTCATATTTGCAATTCCCACCCAAAGAGCTACCTTTGATCTCATCTGAAGTTCATATTCTGGGAGTCTTGGGGAATAAAAGTCTTTTCTTGCTACTTCATGGCTGTAAAAGCATGTCTGATTTGGGGGCTTCACATAAGCTGTCTGTGAAGTAGAGGCTGCTTTGAAAGAATCTGGTCAGCTGTAACATTCCTGGAGGAGCAGGGTGTTCAGAGAACGCGATTATTCTTCGAAACAAAGATCCTCATCAGAGTTGTGAGGCCGAAGGAGGTTAGAAGGATACTTTTGCCTTCAGGGTGTCCCATCTCAGCCTCTGGGTACTAGTCTGGGCAGGTAACTAGTCTGAGCAGGCTGTGCTTTAGTTGACACCTTCAGGATGAACAGACAGGGAGAAACTTGTAGTCATTTTTCTTGGCAGAAGCCACAACCCAGCCCAAGTTAATTATGTCTGAGGAGAAGAATAGTGTCTGGGCATCTGCAATTTTCAATTTGGTACCTCATTTTCCAGTGCCAAGTATTCTATCAAGCCATTCACATGTGTCTTCACAAAGTCCCTTCCTGGTTTCACATCAGACAATGGGAACTCTGAGTTTAGAAACTTCTCTGTAATTGTCACTGTTTACTGAGAACTTCATATGTGCCAGAGCTGATTAAATAGCTCTACATACATCCTGTCTTTTAATCTTGATAACAACCCTTTGAAGGAGGTATTATTATTGCTCCCACTTAGTAGTTGAGAAAACTGAAGCTTAGAGAATATCTTGCCTCAAATCACATGACTGTATATTGTGGAACTGGTGCTTCACATCAAGCCTGCCAGATTGAAACACTCAAGATTTATATAAAGTTCTGTCTAGGAATAAATGTTTCTTCTCTTAACATACCTATGAATTAGAGGGTGGGCATTATTGGGTCTGATTTTGTAGCCAGACCTAACTTAGGGGTTTTTCCCAGAACTATAGATTTGTTAGAGCTAAACACAGAACTGCTCCTCTCTATATTATTTAAATCTGTTCCTTTTCCTAATAATAAATGTCACTGGCAGTGTATTGTCTTTAGAAAGGCTCTGACCTAAGGATTAGGAAAGGCTGATAAAATTACCTTCAAAAGTGTATAACTTGCTGCTCAACTGACTCCTTCCCCACAAACCGTAAATATACAAGTCTCTCATCTAAAAACAAAATAAAACAAACAAACAAGAAAGCAAACAAAAATCACCTCTCTCAATCCTGCATCCTTCTCTATCTACAGTCCTATCTGTCTCTTTCTCTTAGCAGTCAAGTTTCTTGGGAAAAAAGTGTTGACAGTTACAGTTTCCATTTTTTGGCATTCTGCTCATTCTTAAACCTACTGCAATCTGTCTCCTACACACATCTCCACATTACACTAACACTTTTCTGGAAAGGTCATCAATTTCCCCAACGTCAAAGTCAATGTATCCTCCTGCCTCCAATATTTTTTATAAAATTTTCAATCATTCAGAAAAATTAAAAGAACTATACAGGGCATAGTTCTAGCCATATACCTAACCTCTAAATTCTAAAAATAATGTTTTACTGTACTTTCTTTATCTATCTGTCCTTCCATCCATCCATCAATCCATCCAGTTCAAAGTAAGTTGCAAGCTTCAGTGTACTTCACTTCTAAGAGTGCATGTCATTGACTAGAGTTCAATGCATTCTTTTTAATATTCTTCTTTCCTGACTTTAACTTCTCATGGTATCTTGTCACATCTCTGTGCTGAAACTCCCAAATCCAGGCTTAACCATTTCTGACACTGGTATCCAATTATCTAATGAACAGTCATATATCAGAGTCTTCTTATAATTCTCTTTTGCTTGACACTATTTCTTCTTTCTCTCTTTGGCCTTTCCCTTTCAATATATTTTCTGTCCCTTTTTCTCTCACCCACTCCTCAAACATTGTGTGTTTGATCTCTCTGACTTGGCTATTCTCTCATATCTCCATCATTTCCCTGTATCTTAGGTTTTGTTCCCTGTGAAACATTATAAGATAGAGGTTTATATGTAGGAAGTTGGTTGGGGGAGTGCTCTTAGGAACAATACAAAGTGAAGGAAGCAGGATGCCATTATTACAGAGGGCACAGCTGCCTCCAAGTAGAGCTCTGGAATTTGAACAGCTCTTTAAAACTGTCCCAAATCAAGACAAGGTGGCTAGGCCTTTTATCCTTGTATCAAGCAGTGATTAGAAATCCACTGTTCAGGGCTTCCCTGGTGGCGCAGTGGTTGAGAGTCCGCCTGCCGATGCGGGGGATGCAGGTTCGTGCCCCTGTCCGGGAGGATCCCACATGCCGCAGAGCGGCTGGGCCCGTGAGCCATGGCCGCTGAGCCTGCGCGTCCAGAGCCTGTGCTGCCCGC